TGTCATGTGGAGGGGGCAGAAATATGCTGCAATTTGTTTAAAAAAAAAAAAAAACACCAAATCAATCTAAAAACCACTCAGGTGACAAATACAAGGCCCACACATCACTTTTAGAAGGTAGAAAGCTCTGAAAAGTTGATTTTCCTTGAGATGGGCCCTTTAACCAACAGTCAGACTGCACCAAGTGACAGAGCCCGACTGTCACATATAGATATACATCACATGCCAATAGTAAGTAATCCTTTATTATTTGTCTGTTAACATCTCCAAAGCTGAAAATGTTTGATTCTAGTGAAGATCTGTGGAGCACTTTCTGTATTACCACATCTACAAGGTCAGAGTGTTTCTCTTGAGAGAAAGAAAACTCAGCGTAAATCTAGGTTTGGGTTAAACATGTGAACGAAACAAAAAAACACATCTCCAGGTTTGTTTGTGACGAAGAAATGACATTCGAACAGATCAGAGGATAGACTAACATGAGCCCTTTCAGTTTATAACATGAACAAAAAGATGATTTCAAAGATGAGAGCTGCCAGCAGGGGGCGCAGGTGTGCAGCATTTCAAAAGCAGAACTATCTCTTCACATTTGAATTCTTTGTAATAAAAACCAGTAACATCATGACTCACTTCAGTTGTCATTATTTCCCAAAAAGAAATAAATATTTTTGAGGAAGTTTGATTTGAGAGTGGGAGGTAGGACGTGTGGAAGAGAGAGAGAAAAACTCAAACATGAAATCAGCTGCAAAGTATCAGTAAAATTCAGGTAAAATGTAAAATGTAAGATATTTTAAAGCACTCACATGAGACCACAGACAGATGAACTATAGACTCAGAGATGAATGATCCTCCTTCACTTTCGTACTGTTCACATTGGAAGGTTCCAGCCTCCTGAGGACGGACGTGTTGGATCCTCAGACCACACTGTTCTGTCAGTGTGAGACGCTCGGACAGAAGCTCAGAGACTCTGGAGTCGATCTGTCCCAGTCTGATCACCTCCACAGCCCGTGATCCACTTGGTGGAGCAAAAGTCCATGAGGTCTTTCTGCACAGATTCTGTCCTGGTTCAACATTGGGACAAATTAAAACAGTGTCTGCTCCTTCTCTCACCAACACAAACTGAGACGGAAACGAATCTGTGGAGAAATAAGATCATGAGTGACTTCCTCCCTCCTTCAGTGGGACACAACCCGGACTGAACCAGGACTAAACCAGAACTAAACCAGAACTAAACAGGACTGAACCAGGACCCAGGACTGAACCAGGACTGAACCAAGACTAAACCAGGACTAAACCAGGACTAAACCAGGACTGAACCAGGTCTGAACCAGGTCTAAAACAGGACTAAACCAGGTCTGACCCAGGACCAAAATAAAAACTAAGCAATCAAAGAATTTACAGGATTTAAAATAATCTGGAAGCAAAAAGTAAAACATATGTCTGACCTGCGCAGTGAAGAATCAGGAGGAGGAACACTGGGGTGAACACAGCCATCGCCTCCTGTGTCCCTGTCGTGTGTCCCTGTCGTGTGTCCCTGTCGTGTGTCCCTGTCGTGTGTCCCTGTCCTGTGTCCCTGTCGTGTGTCCCTGTCTGTGTGTCCTGTCCTGTCTGTGTCTCTGAACTGTCCTCCCTGTGACCTCCTTTTTCTCTGAGATCTATACTTCTGCTTTTGACCCACGCCTTCTGTGAAACTGTCTTTTTGCCCTGTTCTAATTCTGTCTTTCTCAGAAACTCACATTTGATTCACACAGATTAAATCTTATTCAGCAAAATTTATCTTCTGGAATTTTCTAACATCTTATAAGGTTGTTCTCTCATCAAAAACCTGCCTGAAGAGGTTTGAGAGTCGTCCATGCATGTTTGAGTAATCTGGCGATCTCTCCTGGGCCCTATTCAACCTCTACGTACGGTTAGCTGCGGTACGAGTCTGTACGAGGCTCCGCCCACAAGCCTTCGTCCCCCATGCCCCCGCACGACAGTTCTCCATAAATAAACAAAAACATGACACAAAACTGAACACGGCAACTCGACAAACCTGATGTGATGTGCGGGATGTGTTGTGATAGTGCTCTGAAGGGGGAGTGACTTAGCGTGGAGAGCAAAGGGAGGGGAGACTCAGAGCGCTAAAAACTAAAATCAAATATACATTGCATACCAATAGTAATTTTTATTATTTGTCTGTTAACATCTCCAAAGCTGAAAATGTTTGATTCTAGTGAAGATCTGTGGAGTTTAAAAACACAGTGGAGCACTTCCTGCATCACCACATGACATCACAAGGTGGGACAGAGTGTTTTCAGTTTGAGCGAAGAAGAACTCAGCGTAAATCTGCAGGTTTGTGTGTCAAACGTGTGAAAGAAACAAAAAAACAGAACTGCAGGTTTGTTTGTGACGAGGAAACGACATTAGAACAGATCAGAAAACAGACGAACATGAGCCTTTAGATCAGAGTTTCCCAAAGACGGCGTCGCAAGAGATTTTTTCTGCATGTAGATCTGCAAAATACATATACCTACATCTCCACACACATCCTACACTTTTTCGGAAGCCGCCGCCTTGTATTAATGCTTTTCCTTGTTTAAGATTTGAGTACCGTATTTTTCGGACTATAAGGCGCACTTAAAATACTATTATAAATATATAAATATTACTTAAAATAATATTATAATATTACTTAAAATAATATTCTCAAAAATCGACAGTGCACCTTGTGAATTCATTCTGGTTGTGCTTACTGACCTTGAATTGATTTTTACTCATATTCCACCGAGTCGTGTTCTTTAGTCCGACAGAAGCTGATTTTGTGTTTAAATGAAAAATGGAAAAAACGGATAACGACCGTTTCCCGTTTTTGTGACTTAAACTGCGATGCTGGACTTTTGCGCTGCATACAGACTGAACCAGGACTGAATCAGGACTAAAACAGGACTAAACCAGGACTAAACTGTTTTCAGTCTTGGTCTGGTCCCAGTCTCAGTCTCGGTCTGGTTCCGGTTTCAGTCCTGGTCCTGTTCCTGGTTTCAGTCTCTGTCTGGTCCCGGTCTCAGTCCCGGTTTCAGTCTCTGTCTGGTCCCGGTCTCAGTCCCGGTTTCAGTCTCTGTCTGGTCCCGGTCTCAGTCCTGGTCCTGTTCCCGATCTCAGTCTTGGTCTGGTCCCAGTCTCAGTCGGGATCCTGTTCCTGGTCTCAGTCTCGGTTTGGTCCCGGTCTCAGTCCCGAGTCTCAGTCCCGATCTCAAGTCCTGGTCCTGTTCCCGGTCTCAGTCCCGGTCTCAATCATGGTGTGGTCCTGGTCCGGCCTCATTCCTGGTCTCAGTCTCAGTCTCGGCCTGGTCCCAGTCTGGTCCCGCTCTCAGGCCCGGACTTGGTTTAGTCCTGGTTTAGTTCTGGTTCAGTCCTGGGTCAATGGTAAATGAGAAACGCCCTTTATCTGTTTTTTCCATTTTTCATTTAAACACAAAATCGAAAACTAAAAAAACAAATCATTACCAGAATTTTTTTTCTTATTATTTTTGGTTTTATTTTGAAAACACATGAACGAAATGACACACGGATTCTCAAGTCTCGAGTGTCGTCCATTTGTTTTGTTTAATGCGTCTTACGTATGAAAATAGATGAGAGAATTCAACATTATAATCTGAAAAATACAATAATACTATTTTTTCAGAGAGACACGATTACTCCGTCAACAATAAAACATCCTCATTAATGTTTAATAACGGCCACAGATTTATTTTGTGATTTACAAATAACGTCTGTTGACTTGGTTCGCGAAGAATTGTGACTTTTAAAATACGGGTCCCCAGAAAAAAGAAAAAAAAAAAGGTTTGGGAGACACTGGTTTACAGAGCTGCCAGCAGGGGGCGCAGATGTGCAGCATTTCAACAGCAGAACTAACTGTCTCTTCACGTTTGAATTCCTTGTAATAAAAACCACATCTTCTAATTATTTTAAGCTCCGACGTGACTCGTTTCAGTCGTCGTCATTTCCCCAGTGACGCCGATCGCTCAAGTTTAAAAATATTTTTGAGGAAGTTTGCGATGAGAGAGAGAGAGGTAGGAAGTGTGCGCGAGAGAAAGAGATATAACGGAAACGTACGGGCAGAAGCACAGAGAGCGAGTAGAAGCAGGAAGAGAACGGATTAGAAAGAGAGAGCAGAGGGAAAGAGGGATAGAACAGAAGGCGAGAGGAAGCGGAGGGAGAGCGATGGCCGTGTGGAGACGATTCCTCTTGCTCCTGGTGGTTCTGCCGTTCACAGGTGATAAAAAACTTTACATATTTTACAGATTTGCTTTTGTGGATTTGACGTTTCGTGATATTGTTTTGAAATCAAACTCGACTTATCGATCTAAATCTTGCGATAACTTAAATCCAAGTCTTTAACTCGCTCAAATATGTTAAAAATATGTTTAAATCAACGAGGAAGTGTTTCTGAATGTGTCACTTTTCTGCTGGAGGCTCTTGCTTTTTTATTTATCTTATTTAAAATGATTTTGTTGCTGCTTCTCTTCTCATCTGTGTAAAAGTGTCATGTTTAAAATCGTTCTTCTACTGTTCAGAAAGTATAAAAAGCGACAGTATGCAGCGCTATTGTGGTATACGGGATTGAACCAGCAAGCGTCTGGTTAGTGGGTGCGTCTGTACCAACTGCTCCGAGAGAGAGAAGAATTTAAAGATGATATTTGATAAATAATATGCAGAATGTGAATATTCAGTGCGCAGGGTTGAAGCTGCAAAAACAGATGACGGAAATGAGGAAGTTTTTCATTTCATTTTACAGAACACAGTAAAATCATGTTTGGTCAAAAATGTGTTAATGTCATTTTGAGCCTTATTATTCAGTTCCTCTTCTTTTTCTTTGTATCGTGAGTCAAAAATAAGTTTTCGTGCAAAGACAAAATGCAGAAACTGTGTAGGTTTTGTTTGTGATTTAATTTACAAATATATTTGCGAGTTGCATGCGAGTTATTTATAAAAAAGTCAAAATGATCGACCGACTACGAAGCCAAACAAACTGTGCTGCACTGAAACACTCTGCGCCTCTTTTTTGGACCCTCACCCACAGTTTGAGAACCTTTACTTTAAAAGAACTTCCACTGGCACTTTACACAAAACTGTGAAGAAAGTGAAGAAAGTCACACTCAAGTTTGTGACAAACACAGATGCATTTGTGAACTTTTATTAGACAAACTTCAACCACATGTTGCGGTAGATCTGCTCTGTGCCGACACTGTAACATAAATTTAGATTAGTTTTTGCTTTTTTTGCGTTTTGTCTTGTTCTAGAGTTCAGTACACATTGATGACATGGGGGGAGGGGGGGGGGAGTGTGAAAAAGTGAGGATCAGTGCGCTGACGTGAGGCAGATGAACAGGTGGGATGTTTAACTGCCCTGTGATACACGCTGGTACATGAGGACACACACTGTTATGAACAAGGCGCACGCAGGGAGTGTGTGTGTGTTTGTGATGTGCCGCACAGTATACGCAGGTTCCAAATGAGCGCACAGGCAGCAGAGTGACGCCCGCATGCTCCAGCAGGCTCCAGCAGTCTCCTGCACACCCTCACACGCTCCAGTAGACTCCCGCACCCCCCAGTAGGCAGTGTTGTGCATGAACGAGTTCAAAAGAACACGTTCATTGAACACGTTCATTTTTCAGTGAACTTTGAACTGAACGCAACACTTTTGTAAATCAAGAACTTGAACGTGAATTTGTTCAAATTATGTGTGATGAACGACGTACGTCACTGTTGGGGTTCAGTTAAACGTCGGAATTTGACGTGTGACGATCTGCTCGCACTTAACGTCGTGAAACCACAGCCGCGTGTCAACGCGAAGGCGACTCCACCGGCAGCTTTAGCGGAACGTACGGCTCTTGTGTCTCTCAATGGGAAAGTCAATTAAACTTGACTGGGCGCGTTTAGTTGCTTGTATTTACCTTCTGTACAGGCTGACCACGGCAAACGCAAGGATTTTCAAAAGTAAATTTCCAAGCACTAATGAACAGTGTATGTGGATCTGGGCTCTTTCACATGATACACAACTGCCCAGGGAGCACAATGTGCTGATGGTAAATGCACAAATACAACAATAGATACATGCTCTCTGTGTATTTTGACGGGGATACGCGCCTACGCGTGTAGAGCGTCAAAAAATAGGATGGATCCTATTTTCTGAAATCTACACGCACAGGACGTGCTGCTCCGCGCGCGTATTATTTTACTTGGTACATGTGTCAGTAACGCGCGTCACAATGCTTTTTTAACCTGGATTGAAATGGTGGGTTTTTTGTTTTTCTTCATACAAATTTGCTATTTGCAGATTTGCTCACCGCGATATCAGCAGCGGTGAAACGCCGGAGGTTCGCCCGCGTAGACCGTGATCTGAGCGAAAAGACCGACGCAGAAGTCCGCGTTCCACCGAACTAAACGCAGCTGACGCCCGATCGCACTCGGGGTTCTCTCAGGGGCGGTCCTAGATTCCAAGTTCTAGTCTAGGATTAGTCCTGGTTTGGTCCTGGTTTAGTCTTGGTTTAGTCCTGGTTTAGTCCTGGTTCAGTTCTGGTTTAGACCTGGTTTATTCCTGGTTCAGTCTGGTTTAGTCCTGGTTCAGTCCTGGTTTAGACCTGGTTCAATTCTGGTTCAGTCCTGGTTTAGACCTGGTTTAGTCCTGGTTTGGACCTGGTTCAGTTCTGGTTCAGTCCTGGTTTAGACCTGGTTTAGACCTGGTTTAGTCCCGGTTTAGTCCTGTTTCAGTCCTGGTTCAGTCCATATATGGCGCAAAAGTTCAGCATCTTAACAGTTCTTTTGGTGAGAGTAAATTAAAAGTGCTGTAATAGTCGTGTAATGTTTTACATTTTAAACACAGTAATATTGTAATGTAACAAATGACTTAGAAATGACAATAACAAGTCATAAATGACATTACAGTTTTAAAGTCACTTGTCCAACAGTGTATCTTGTAAAGTTGTTGTAAACTAGAAGTCAGTTTGAAAAATAAATGCAGCCTTTCATTTACAGATCTCATCTAAATATAAAATGAACTGAACTTTGAACTAGTTCAAAATTAAAATTGTGAACTATGAACGTGAACTATTCACTTTGAACAAGTGTGAACTGAACTTTGAACTAGTTCATGAAAAGTGTGAACTTGCACAACACTGCCAGTAGGTTCCCGCACGCCCCGGCAGGCTCCAGTAGACTCCCGCATGTTCCAGTAGACTCCCGCATGCCCCGGCAGGCTCCAGTAGACTCCCGCATGTTCCAGTAGACTCCCGCACGCCCCGGCAGGCTCCAGTAGACTCCCGCACACCCCGGCTGGCTCCAGTAGGCTCCTGCACGCCCCCGCAGGCTTCCACACGCTCCAGCAGGCTCCTGCAAACCCTCACATGCCCCCACACACTCCCGCAGGTTCTAGCAGGCTCCTGCAGGCTCCCGCACGCTCGTACAGGTTTATTGCCGACAGCAGCGGCCATAATATGATCACACTTGTCGAGTGTCAGACCTCGAGTCCGAGACAAGACCGAGTCCAAATGCGATTGAGTCCGAGCCGAGTCCTACGACACTGCGATCTACTCACACTACCTTGGAGATCGACTGGTAGATCGTGATCGACGTGTTGGGCACCACTGCTGCAAAGTCACTTCTGTGTCAAACTGTTTAACTCTGTGTCACCACACGATGCTCATCAGCACTGAACAGGAAATCCAAAGCCCACGATGACTAGACCTGGATGAAGTGTTTTTCTTATAATGGATGGAAGTTTGGGCAAAATCAAGCAGATAATGATCATGTCAAGTTTCTGCCTTTTGTCTTTGCACAAAAGCTTATTTTTGGCTCATGATACAAAGGCCGAGAACAGGAACTGACTAATAAAAAGGGTCAAAGGTCAATTTTGAGCTCAATATATATTTTTTTTGCATGCAAATATTTATTATAGCACCTAGTTGTCAGATTTTGAGAGCCCTGCTTTTTCTCTGGACAAAATAAAAACTTTGAAGTCATTTTTCTCAGTTTCACACTCTGGAGAGCCTTTGTAGACTGTTTATATAAATGTGTGTAAAATCCCTCAGTCGTCCAGGTAAAATCTAGTTGCTCCGCTCAATTTCATTTCTCTCCAGCGATTAGGTCAGGAATCAGAATGCACTAGACACTTTGCAAGAACCCTGGAAGTTGTAGACCGCATCTGTCTGTGTCCCTTTTGTGGAACAGCACAACAGTAAACAAAGCGTCGAGATGGATGTAGACGAAGACAGACATTCTGTGTTGGCAACGATTCCGGAGATCGAGGATTTAAAGCCGGAACAAAGAGAATGTTTGGTGAATTTTATCAAGAGGAAAGATGTTATCGACCTTCTTCCTACGGGATTTGGCGCATTACAAACGTCGCGATCTACCTACCGTTGAGTGAATGAATCCTAATGCTGCGAGGTCAGACGGTTTCCATGAATTGAAATCGGTTGATGAATCAGGGTAAAATCCAAGGCAAAGGAGAAATTCACTTTGTCAACTGGACAGAGGTTTTTTGGTTGAATACTAAACTGAATTCTTCAGTTGTGGTCAGACGCTGGTGGACACTTCCTTATATCTGCCTGAAGGAGGAGCTAACTACACTGAAACTACTCTGAAACTAACACACCTCAATCCATCCTTGAACAGAAATGAAGGCCTCAGACATCATCTATCTCCTTTTACAACTCCATCCTCAAACCTGAATCAAAATAAAGAGAACAATAGGAAGAGCCGGGTCAAGTCCAGAGGTGTGAAAGCCCGAATTTGACCCCAAAACTCAGTACCATTCTGTAGACCGAGCTACAAACAGAAACTGTAAACAAATAGGTGTGTTAGTTTCAGAGTAGTTTCAGTGTAGTTAGCTCCTCCCTTCAGACGGATATAAGGAAGTGTCCACCAGCGTCTGACCACAACTGAAGAAGCAGCTTGGATGAGCCGTGAAATGTATTCAACCAAATAAACTTTTGTCCAGTTGACAAATTTTATTTTTCCTTTGCCATGTTTATATAGGCCTTGTTTACACGTACATGAGACATTTCCTTTGTTTGTTTCATCTTTTACACACCAACGGCAAATTCACTTCTGAAAACGAATTTTTCTAAAAACTCTTACACTTAGAGTGGAGATTCTGGAAAACTCTGGTTTGCATGTAAAGTGAGATAAACAGAGTTTTAGGAGCTGATGTGCCAAAAGTGCAACCAGTGTTTCCCTTTTGCTCTGATGATGATGATGATGATGATGATGATGATGATGATGATGATGGTGATGATGGTGATGATGATGATGTGATGATGATGATGATGATGATGATGATGATGGTGATGATGATGATGATGATGATGATGATGATGATGATGGTGATGATGATGATGATGATGATGATGATGATGATGATGATGATGATGATGATGATGATGATGATGATGATGATGATGATGATGATGATGATGATGATGATGATGGTGATGATGATGATGATGATGATGATGATGATGATGATGATGATGATGATGATGATGATGATGATGATGATGATGATGATGATGATGATGATGATGATGATGATGATGATGATGATGATGATGATGATGATGATGATGATGATGATGATGATGATGATGATGATGATGATGATGATGGTGATGATGATGATGATGATGATGATGATGATGGTGATGATGATGATGATGATGATGATGATGATGATGATGATGATGATGATGATGTGATGATGATGATGATGATGATGATGATGATGATGATGATGATGATGATGATGATGAAGCATCAGAGCAGCATTTGCATTTCTTCTGGTGAAACATTTTTCATGTGGCAAAAAACTGTTTTTGTGTCCTTAGGCAAGACACTTCACCCACATTGCCTAGTATGAAAGTGGAGTGTGCGTGAGTGATGGTGGTGGTCGGAGGGACCGATGGCGCAGATTGGCAGCCTCGCTTCCATCAGACTGCCCCAGGGCAGCTGTGGCTACAATAGTAGTTTACCCCCACTGAGTGTGGAGAGACTGAATAATGAACTGTAAAGCGCTTTGGGGATCTTGAAAGGTGCTATATAAATGCAATCAATCAATCAATCAGTGTGTTTCATTTGCACACAACTGATGTTTCAGATCCACGACCAGAGACAAATGAGGCTTTAACAGATCTGTGAAGATCTAATGCACGTTTTTCAAAGTATTTTTGAGTAATACTTACAACTGTAATAAAATAAATGCTACAGATTTGAGTCTAATCCAGGTGTCGCCCAGAAGCTCGGCGTAGTTATGACGACGCTCGATGGCGTTTTTATGCGGGTCGATGTAAACGAAAACTTTTTTGAAAACGATGCTGTGTGCACGATGTTATTTGAGAAAATGGAGGGAGGGAAATATTCGTTTCTCAACAAACCCGACAATGTGTAAACGCAGCCATAAATGGACATAGCTAACCCACTAGCCGCCAAACAGGAAGTGAACATGGGCATGATTTGGCTCCATTGCCTCTGACCAATTCACTTTCTGTTGTAAAAGTGTGGCCTCTCTCTGAAACTCCTACTGTCAGGCTCGTCATTTTGGTCTTGAAATGTTGGTTTGAACCTGTTCTACATGATCCTGGGGTTTTTATTTCATTAATTTATCCCTTAAATCAACATATGGACTGTAATAACAGACCGATCAGGCCTTTTTTTCTTAAGGTCGCTCCTGTTAGCAGTAGGTTTGATTGACAGCATTGTTAAACACCCACTGCCACTCTCTTGGCTCTTTGGTTTTGAGCTCGGATTTCCAAATATGATCCCTGGTAGGAGACTAACCGCTATAACAGCTGGCCTTGATGAGCTTCATTTGGAGCTGAACTCATTGAGTGACGTCACACTCCCTCAGTCCTCTTCTTTATTCAGACTGTGGATGGGACGAGACTTGACATCAATGATAATAACTATAATTTCTTTGAGAACGAGACAATATTTTGACATCATCTCTAATAAATCAGATGTGCCGTTCAGGACACAATTTGGCGTCACAACATGTGATTTATCTTCTATAGCTACAGTTTCTAAGAGGTCGATCTCAGAAGCTGCAGTTTGACCTCTGATGAAAGTCGGGGAGGGTCTTTGCCTGTTCTCTGTGAATTCAGGTTTGCTGGTTCAATCCCTTTGTTTTTTTCTCCACAGATTCGTCTCTGTCTCGGTCTGTGTTGGTGAGAGAAGGAGCAGACGCTGTTTTAACTTGTCCCAATGTTGAACCAGGACAGAGTTTGTGCAGAAAGACCACATGGACTTTTGTTCCAGCTGGTGGATCACGGACTGTGGAGCTGATCAGATTCTGGGACAGATCGGCTCCAGAGTCTCTGAGCTTCTGTCCGAGCGTCTCACACTGACAGAACAGTGTGGTCTGAGGATCCAACACGTCCGTCCTCAGGAGGCTGGAACCTTCCAATGTGACCAGTATGAAAGAGAAGGAGGATCATTAATCTCTCAGTCTATAGTTCATCCTGTCTGTGGTCTTCATGTGAGTGCTTTAACACACCTGAACTTTACTGATACTTTGCAGCTGATTTCATCAACATTTTCTTGGAGAGTGATGCTAAGTGGAGGCACTGCTTTGTCTGAAGCTCTGTTCCTCAAATCAGAGGTTTATTTTAACACAGTCTGACCATAAAGAACTGACTTAACTACAGTTACAACAGGTGAGCTGATTTGTGTCTCTTTTAAATAACATTACAGTCACGGCTACACTACTGTCACTATTTAGACACTGGCGTCTAATTGTCGGAGTAGCAGCACAAACATTATTTTTTTTCCCAATACTCCGACATTTTTTTTTTTCATTGTCGGAGTAGTGGTACTTTACTATTTTTCAAACTTTCTTCGTTTCTGTCATGAATAATATTCACGTGATAGCCTATCATACTTTGTGCTCCCATATATATATATATATATATATATATATATATATATATATATATATATATATATATATATATATATATATATATATATTAGATATAGATATAAGATATGTAAGATATAAGATGAGATATATGATATATAAGATGCTTAGGCCACAGAGGATATCAGACAGTGGGAAAATGTCCTCACTAATCGCCGCGGGAAACAGTCATACATTTTAAAAGAGTGTAGCCTTCAGGAAAATATCTCATCTAAAACGGAGGCTGCATGGGCCCTTTGTGCTTCATTCTTTTCATCATGTCTACGTCTGTGGAGAACAGCATACAGCCTAAATAAATAACCAGTCAAATTCATTGCACCAGCTCAATGAGAAGACTGTTCCTCACCTCTCATAAAGTGGTAAATTTAAACTGCAATGTCTCATCCACATTATGCATAGAATTTGTCCTCCGCAAATAATGACCCCAGTCCACAAAACGGTGCTGTTAATCCAGTTTGAGGCGTTATTTAAAAGTAAAAAGGTGAGAGTAGTTCCTCACGTGTGTCTGTCTATAGGTGAAGCTGCAGATTAGTGACAGTGACTCTACTTCCTGTGGACTTTATCTCCAATCTTTTATGCTTTAAAAATCCTGTATCTGAAGTTTGGCAACACATTTTACAAATAATAAAAACACAGTTTTGACTTGGATCTAAACTAGAAGTGCAGAGTCTGATCTTTTGAACACTTAAGAGTCTAAAAGCGTGTGGTTTTACTGTAGACAGGACACATCTGAGAATTTTAAGAGATTTTAAATCTCCGATCTCAAAGACTGCAGCAGGATCTGTCTATGGACCACAGGATATAAAGTTGTGAGCGCGATTGCGTCAGCGGTTCACTGCTTCATGTTGATCTGTGCACTGTGTGAATGTAAACAGACACACGTGAGGAACTAGTGTCACGCCTCAAACTGGATTAACAGAGCGGGTTTGTGGACTGGATGTCAACATTTGCAGAAAACCATTTCTATGGATAATGTGGATGAGATGCTGCAGTTTAAATTTACCACTTTTTGAGAGCTGAGGAATAAAGTCTAATGTCTTATTATTTTCACTATTTCCTGAGTTTGTATCTTGCCCCTGACGCTCTGTTTTTTTTGACTGTTACCGTTGAGTTGCTGATGTTTTGTGGTTACGATCTGACACTGACACACACACATGAGGAGCAGTGGCTTCAAAATCCCACACAAAGTCGGATCAAGCCTCACTGAGAAGAAATTGCAGACAAAATCGGGCAAATTCTCCTGTAGTGTGTGGCGGCCTTTAACCGGACAACGTGTAGACCTAAACCAAAAACACATCCAGCTTTTCTTTGACTTTCATTTGAGGCATCACTGTGGATTTTTGTCAGTATATTTTTTCACATTAGTTTAGGGTTTTGGTTACGTTTGCTAACTGGGTCTTGGCAAAACTGTGGTGCAATTTAATAGAAAATGAAAAATAACGATATTAGTTAATGCAGTAGTTAGAAAGCTTTGATTGACATGGAGTTTGATTGACATGAGCAGAGTTTTTAGGGAGTCTCCTGTCTTGAGCTCTCACTTCTAAATCACCAACTCTGGACTTATTTACCCTACAATATTTTCAGGTGTAAAAAGTATAAAAAGTACACCCCAAAACAGAGGTCCAAATGTATGTTCTCATAGAAGATTTATGAGGTGCTGTGTGTGTTTCAGTGACTGAGGAAGAGGAGGAACAGAGTGAGAAGCTCCGCTGTGCTGTCTCCTCCCGTCTCTCTGGAGTCACTGTCAAGGTTGCTTCTTCAGGGCCAAGTCGTGGACAAAGACAATCCAGGTTTACAGCAGATATCACAGAATGAAGTCGTCCTCACTCTTGTAGATTTCCTTCGTCAGGACAAACATCTGTTCAAATGTGAAGTGACTGTTTAAGATAAGACTGAGGTGTTCAGCTTTGAACGTGAGAACTCCAAGAGCCGAGGTGAGACCAGGAGAAACATCTGAACATCTGACACAGAGGGACATAAGAGGATGGGAGTGGGAGGGCATCTGACACACGGATACAGGAGGATGGAAGGGCATCTGACATAAGATTTTTTTTATATTTTCAGATCAAACAACCACAAACCCAACAGATGCTCCAGACACTGAGGACACAGACGACTCTGGGTTCAAAGGTAACGAGTCGTTCAGTGCTAATTCAAACTGGGTTCAGATTTGGTTTGAACCTGGTTTAGTCCTGGTTCAATCCTGGTTAAATCCTGGTTTAGTCCTGGTTCAGTCCTGGTTTAGTCCTGGTTCAGACCTGGTTCAGTCCTGGTTAAATTCTGGTTCAGTCCTGGTTTCAGTCCTGGTTCAGTCCTGGTTCAGTCCTGGTTCAGTCCTGGTTCAGACCTGGTTCAGTCTTGGTTTAGTCCTGGTTCCTGGTTCAGTCCTGGTTCAGTCCTGGTTCAGACCTGGTTCAGTCCTGGTTCAGTCCTGGTTCAGTCCTGGTTCAGACCTGGTTCAGTCCTGGTTCAGTCCTGGTTCAGTCCTGGTTCAGTCTGGTTCAGTCCTGGTTCAGTCCTGGTTGTGTTTCAGATTGGCACTGGGCCGCTGGAGCTGGAGTTGTGGTTCTTGTGGTTCTTGTGGTGGTCCTGATCTTCTGGAGGAGACTCAGAGGTGAGAAACTCCAAACATCTGAACAAATATTAGAGTCTGAAATAATTTAAACTTCTTCTTCTGTTTCAGCGAAGCCTCGAGGTCCAAACACGGCCCCTCAGGTCAGAGATACGGCCCCTCAGGTCAGAGATACGGCCCCTCAGGTCAGAGATACGGCCCCTCAGGTCAGACCACAGACTGTAAATACTGTATAACTGGACATACTTTGGATCTGTCGACTCTCAGACTCGTCATTCAGACCATAAAATGTTGGTTTTAACCCGCTCTTTTATTTCAATTTTTTTTCCTGAAATCAAGATATAAACATTAATAACTGACCAATCAGGCGCCTTCTTCCATCACGGTCACTTTAGCAACAGGTTTGATTGACAGTGGCCACGTTTACATGTTGTTTTTTAATTCCAAATTCATTCTTTTGAATTCAATAGTTTGGGGTTAAAATATTCTTTTTCTTGTTTACATGGAAATAATAATTCTGAATTGAGGTTTACATGGAAAACTTGTTAAATTGTCTTTATTTAATCCGCTCAGCGTATCGGGGGGGAAGAATTTTGATTAGACAGAGACACGAACGTATTTACGTCGACCGGGAGAAAACTCACACTTCAGCTGCTCCCGGCTTTTCTGTCATCTCAGTTTGTCGTTACTCCACGGACACAAACACGACCTAAAATTTAGGTTGTGCCAAACTCATTTTGGTCCTGGGGTCGTATCCAACCGACTTTGATCCCAAAGTGTCCGGATCAGAAAACTCATGTCATATAAACCCCAAAAATAACAATAAGTTCAAATATTTGTGCAGAGAAACACAAATCTATTACAGAAATCTTTTTTTAATTGATGAACTCTTTCTTTTACAAAATATTATAATATTATGAACAACCTGAAACTTTAAGAAAAATACAATTTCAACACAAAGTTTTAACATGAACTTGTTTGTAAACAGGAATAAGTCAAATTTTTGTTGTAAAATCCTGCACTCGGCTCCACTTTTCTCATGTTGGACATTTTTCTGATGAGGGTGTCACGGTCAACAGTCAAAACGATCGTCCTTTAAGAGCGTTTGGAAAGAGACAAGTCTTCATTTGTGCTGCTCTGGTGGGAGGGGCCACGTACAGAGACGCTGGAGACGCTGCTGTGATAAACACCACAGAAAATTAACAAGATTTTAGTGGAAAATGTCATTAAAATATTTTCGTAGAAAATCAGCCGAGGGCCAGATTAAAGGTCTTGGAGGGCCGGATCCGGCCCCTGGGCCGTATGTTTGACACTCCTGACTTAAACAGAGGCATTCTGTTTTACAACTCTGCACTACTTCCTGTATTGTTGTATTTTTTTCACAACTTATTATTTTTTGTTGTTCTGATCTAATTTTGGGGGGATCTGATACCGATACTTGGCTGTGGTGTCCTCACCGATACCGATACCAGTCCAGTACCAGAGTGTGAAGAAATACACTTATACAACAGCAAAAAATAAATCTTCCACAAGACTTCTTTTAAAGACAAGATTTTGAGGACTTCAAATATGAGTGAAATGTGTATTGATCTTGAGGATAAGTGAAACCCAGTCTGTGCTCGTGCGTCAAACCGTCTGCGTCACGATGCAGAGTCTGCGTCGCCCGCTTCATTTTGTAAACACAAATGCTAGTTTTAAATCGTCGCCTCCTGGTGTTGTGGCGGTGAATTACTCTGCGGCGCATAAACCTCGACGCAGATCCATAAATCAAAAATGGCGACGGCGGCAGAGTGCGATGAGTCGAAGCAGATCTATAATTCGGCCTTAATGCTGATTTAAGATCATTTACACTTTCACGTTCTACCAGTGCAGATATTATAATTTGTTTTAGTGCAGATTTTAGACAAAATAAATAAATAAATCTGGTTCATCTGTGTTTTGTCTATAGACTGAACCTGACGACGGAGTTTCCTACGCCACCGTCAGCTACAACAGGAAACAGGGGCTTGAGGTACTAAACCAGGACTAAACCAGGACTAAACCAGGACTGAACCAGGACTAAACCAGGACTGAACCAAGACTGTAAATCCTTGTTTTTTTGTGTTCAGATCAGAGAGAGTGAGGAGGAGGAGGCCGTGACCTACAGCTCAGTGAGAATCAACGCGTCTGGAGAAAGTCTCTACGCCACCGTCAACAAACCCAAACCTGCCAACTAAACCTGTTGACTTAAACAAACTAATAAAAAACAACTAACTAATCAACAAAACCAGCCAAGACCCCAGCTAACAAGTCAATGTGAAATTAAACCAAGTGAGTCATCTCTCTCCAAACCGCAGTCAACACCCAACAAAACTGAAACTAACCAACAAAAGCAACAGGACAGAAATAATGTTGGTTACGAAACCACAGAACATCCGTCGACACACCTGTGAAACCGAAACTAACCAACCCACAACAGAACTAACCCGAGAGGTCACGAGTCAGTTCACCCGTGACCTGGTGACCTGATGGCTCGGTTTAGTGGTCGTTTCTTTTGGATATCATGAGTCGGGAAACAAGTATTTTAAAAATTGTATTATGTATTTATTTATTGTTTGTTTTGGAAAGAATTTTTGCGAGATTAATAAATATTATGCAAAATCCTTTTTTCCTTTCCTTTTTTTTTTTTTTCTTCCACGTTTGCTCATCAAAAACCTGCCTGAAGAGGTTTAAAAGAAAACCTTAGAACCCACATGCTTGTGTGAGGCACCATTTTAAAGCTTAGGCCTTCTAGTTTCTGTAGATATGTACATGAAGACTGTGAGTGCTGCCTAACCTACAGTACAGTCAATTAAAATTGGAAAAAAAAAATTTTTTTTTTGCTTCGAAAAAAAAAATGAAAAAATTAAAGGCCTTAGCTTGGTCATACTTCATGCTAGGCATTTGTGACTCACTACACTCATTGTTCAAGTTGTTGGCAACAACTGTGTAGAATTTCAGATCTCTAGGACAAAGGGTTTTGATGCTGTGAGCCTTTGTGTAAACAAAATGACAATTCGGCACAAGATTGCCAAATTTGTGCCAAAATAATAATAATAATATAATAATAATAATAATTGTTATTATTATAATACTAATTCTTCTGATCTTTAGGCATGTTTTCTCAAGAAAAAAACCTAAAAGTAGCCAAAATTGTCTTCCAAGTGTCAGATCTGCCAACTATGGCCCCTCCCGCACTGCTTCTCTGTGTCCCTCTCTGTTGCGCTTGTAAACACAGCGCCCGTTTCAAAGATTATCTGCATGTCCCACCCACCGTTTGAAAGCTCTGGTGATAGGCTAAAACAATATGTCAATCACTTTCTGGAAGATCCAATGACTGAAGAGATTTCCTGTAAACAAACTGATGACGCGTGCCTAAAGCCAGGAAGTACGTGGGTGCGTTAGCTTCTTCAGCGGCTTGTCCCACCTAAACCCCGGCACCGACAACAGCGGGGAGGGGCTCATTTTGAAGCTAAGAGTGTGAGGAAAACAAGCGTACCCAAGAGCGCCAAGAGAAACGGAACTCAGAGAGGGAGAAGAGGCGGAAAGGCAACATATATTTTCATTCACGCATTCATCCACTCATACAGACGAGGATTTTCTGGATTATTTACCCACATGGAATTATTTTATGGAAAAAACAACTTGATATTCTTTTTCTGTGGATTATTACGGACTTATTGAGTACAACTTTTCATGGATTGAACGCGTTTTGGACCAACAGAACCGGCTCAAAGGTAAGAAACGCATATCTTATTCTTTGTTTATGATGTAAATTTTTAAGTTATAGCGTTTTGGGCTCGTTGTACGGCATAAAATGAATGATATGGTTGTTTTATTGATAAATTAAGCTTTCAAACGATGTATGGCCAGTAGTGAAAACAATAATGAAGGTGAATATACAGAGTGAACATTTTTTATTGGAAAATCGCCCGCCGGTGGGCAGGTGGATGGTAAGTGGTTTTTAAGAGTCATCCATGCATCTTTGAGTAATCTAGTGATCTCTGTGCCCATAACATACCCATGCTCCCACACGACAATTCTCCATAAATATATAAACACATGATATAAAACTGAACACAGCGACTGGACAAACCTGATGTGATGTGCAGTAGTGTGTTGTGATAGTGCTCTGAAGGGGGAGTGAGCAAAGCGAGGAGCAAGTCAAGAGAACATATCTCATAAAAATCTACTCACGTAAAAAATACTGCAGTACTCTTTTTATAATGTATGTTTAGAGCAGGGGTGGGCAAACTACGGCCCGTTTAATCCGGCTCGCCGAACTGGAATAAATTATAATAATAAACCTTGTTCATGTTTTATTTTTCCTGCATTTCCGGCGTTTCCCAGTAGATGGCGCACATATATATATACATTGAGGTGCGGCGTCTTCAGTTGGCTGCAATGCTTTATGGGAAAGTAATGACAGGAGTAATTTTTGGGCGGCGTATTCGAACCATGAGTGAGGTAGAAGTGTTCAACACATAAGGCTGCACTGTTTTCATCATAAATTGGTTAAATGTGAAGTTGAGATTATGATATTATGCATTAACAAGTTGAACATATGGAACTATTTCAATGCCTGGTGTTATCATACTTGTCAGTGTTTATGTACAGAAAACTGCTACATGCAATACAATCAGTGCGTATACATGCACATCAATAACCCGGTTATTAGCCATATCCCGGTTATGTCAGTGTTCGTGTTACTGCGTTTACATGAGCACTGAGAAACCGGGACACTCATATCCACGTGTACATGATCAAATGGAGTGTCCCGGTTTCTTGACATAATCTTACAAATGTGCGCAGGCGCAAAAATTAACTTAAATCAATTTCATAAACCAGGAAAAATACAAACCGTGAGCTCCTTTAGCATAAGAAGCTAAGGAGCTACGAGATCTCCCACAATCCACTGCGCAGATTCTTCATTAAAATCTTCTGCATAAATAAACTCAACTTTACAACATATAAACCATAAACACTATAGAGCCACATCAGCCCAATGATCAGATAATTCAGCTGTGATCACATTTGTTTACGTTTTACAGAAACGAAACTTAAGACCGTTTGGCTAATTAGCATAAACTGTTAGCGGCGATAAAAACAACTCGCTCCTTGCGCCGCTGATGCGATCAGTTTCTTTTGGACTAAATGACACGACTCTGTGGATTATGTGTGTTATTTCTGTGACAGAAGAGGCGCTAATGATGGTAAGTGTGTTCCGTGCGTATAGAGTATAGGAGATAGTTCATGTTTTAGCTTTTCAGTGATCACACGAGTGCAGATTGTACGTGTGCAGGTTTAGCGCAGCTCTTTATTTTACTCGTTTTGGTCACTTTATTTATGTTGGTCAATTTATTTATGTCGCTACTTTGTTGTGGTGAAAGGCTGGAAAGTGTCTTTTGGACGCATGCGCACTCAACTTTATGTTGCAGTAACCGGGTACTGCGTTTACATGCCACAAGTATCCCGGTTACTATCGGAATAAACCAGCTACAGTAACACCGGTTTCTAATAACCGGACTACTGCCATAACCGGGTTACTGCGTTTACATGCACCATCAAGAAACCGGGATACTCAAAAAACCCGATCATAACCGGGTTATTGATGTGCATGTAAACACACTCAATGAGGTCTACGCGCGAAGGATAGACGGTCACCTATGGCGTGCAGTGAAACAGACATCAGTTACTTCCCATGCATTCTGAAACTTAGGTGTGAAATTAGGCTACGTTCAGACTGCAGGGCTTAACGCTCAATTCCGATTTTTTTGTGAAATCCGATGTTTTTTCGAGGTCGTTCACATTTCCAATTAAATGTGACTTGTATGTGACTCCAGTGTGAACATTAAACGGCCCAAAAGTGTCCCACATGTGACACTGGAGACACGACGACGTCAACCGCAGCGAGCGTCTCTGTGTTTACAGGAAGTTGTCCAAACATGGACGCAGCATCGAGCACCTGGAGATTTTAAAGTTCCTCTCGTACCGGAGCCAGAACATGAACAACTTACTTGTTTTAAGGAGGAGATTGAGAAGGAGAAGGACGAGGTTTTTTGGTCGTGGTGTTTTGTGGTGAGTGGAGATGTGCTTCACTTCAGTGACACGGAGTTCATTAACAATTTTCACCTACTTCAGTGCAGAATAGTGACGTTTGTGTCTTGTTGATGACGTGTAGGTGGATGAATGCACTTTGGCCGTTCACACTGAAGTCACATGTCAAAAGATCAGATATGTATCAGTTTCAGGAGCACATATCCAAGTGGCCTGGGTCGCATTTGAAAAATCGGATCTGTGTCGTTCAGACTGTCAATAAAAGATCAGATACAGGAACATAGAGGCCAAAAAGTCGGATTTGGGTCACTTCAGGCTGCAGTCTGAACGCAGCCTTAGTGATGTCGAGATGAAGCCCCATGAAGCACTGAAGTGTTCCAGCCATTTGCTCGACTCTTGAGCCGATGCTTCAAGGTGCTTCGTTTGCTCCACTGCGCCATCAAGTGTCCCAAAAAATATATAACAGGCAGAGTGACAATAGAACAATCAACATGATCATCGAGGTTCTGATGGAAAGATTTATACTGAATAAATGAACGATTAAATATATGAATGTTTGTGATTTCAGCATAAAGTGTGAATGTATAAACCTGGAGTCTGTGTTCATGATAAAAAGGTCGGGTTAAAAGAAAAAGTAGGAACAAATTGGAGATCAGGATGTAATGTGACTGTGCTTGTGTTACTACTTTACATCTGCGCTTATGCCACAATAAGGACGGCAAGATAGGGTCAATTTATTCATTTTTATTTAAAAATATCAATTTCTCCACAGTATTTGGACTCAGACGGTTTCTTTTTTACGGAGAATTTCCCCTGCTTTAAAAAATAAATAAATAAATAAATAAAAATCTCAAATAGAATGTACCAAACTCGCAATTTTGGGGGAATCCGTTGCTTTTCACTTGCCGCTGTTTCAAATCGCGCCAAATCCGCGGACCACTTCCTGAAGCAAATGAAACAAGCCTCGATACGCGCTTCGCCGAAACACCTACTTCATTACTCGACACAGGCCTCGAAGCCTCGGCACATCTCGTAACATCACTACGTGAAATAGTAGCAGCGCCTAGTGCAGAATACATCCCACATGAGAGTAAATACGAGTGCAGTGGAGCCTCTTAACACGTTATGGAGAGTGTTTTAGGTTAGCATTTGGTCGTCACTGAGAATTCCAGTTTACTGAAGCCGGACTGAACCAGGGCTAAACTAGGACTAAACCAGGACTGAAACGGGACTGAACCAGGGCTAAACTAGGACTGAAACGGGACTGAACCAGGGCTAAACTAGGACTAAACTAAGACTGAACCAGAACTAAACTGGTACTAAACCGGACTGAAATGGGACTGAAACGGGACTGAACCAGGGATAAATCAGGACTAAACCAGGACTAAACTAGGACTAAACCAGGGCTGAACCAGGACTGAACCAGGACTATACTAGGACTAAACCAGGACTAAACCAGGACTAAACCGGGACTGAAACAGGACTGAAGCTGGACTGAACCAGGTCTAAATCAGGACTAAATCAGGACTGAAACCAGGACTAAACCAGGACTAAACCAGGACTAAACCAG